AAAATAATAATTTATTTTCTGATTTTCTGAAAGTATACTTTTAACATCTTTACATTTTACGAACGGTAAACTGACAGTGCGTGTTTGATACGCTCCCATTAGAGTTTGGACTAAAACACGCAAATATCCATTTTTTCTACTTTTTGTATGGCATATGAATGCTACCCTTATATGTTTCCTAGCCTGTGATAACACGACAACTGTATGGCAAAATGACAAGGCCTTCCACCTTTAAGTGGTCAAAGTAACAATAATAGCCATCTTAAGATGGCATGTTTTGTTGTTTTAAACAAATCATTCCCAAAGTTCTATACTATCATTTTGTATAGTATATGTATAGTATATGTTGATGCATAGTATATTCTGTTAGCATGACGTACTAGGACTTTGTTTGGTGCAGTTCCGTTGCTCCAATTCCTGGATCCTTCTGCCTCTAGCGTCGGACTCTGACTGAAGCTGTTGAGTTTTATTCTTCTCCTGTAAGAGCTGTTCCATCGAGACAACCAGGGATGCGGTTTCTGGAAAATAATTTACTTTTGTCAGATGAATGAGTTTTGGGACTTTTAGTACAAAAACGAATCGTGCTGGGAACATTGGGGAGAATAACTAAGCAAGGAAGATGGACCTTTGCTAATTTTGCCATATAGATAGCTTACTTAATATATATGATAATATTATTAAAGAAGATTAATGTAAAAAATATAAGATGATTCTAAAAAAAAAACTTTGTAGTTTTTAATCCAATATAGAAATTTGTAATAATCACACAAATTTTGTTTAGGGAAAGAAGACAGCATTGCCAATCAATAACGATAATAATAATATGGAAATAAGTTTCATAATCAATAAAAATGCAAAAATTTATTATTGAGTGATAAATTAAGGAGTTTACGGAGATTGATATACAATACACTAGATTTTGGCGACCCCATACTTCCATGAAATCTTTTGGAAAGTTTATGTCTGATGATGACTACCCGTAACTGACTTACTCTTCTACTCATTATCAAAATCTGTATGCAAAATGTAGGCATTTTTGTAAAATTTGCATTTTATCATGTACATCTGTGTGAGCTACTTACAGACTTTAATCCATAAAAAATCAGTTCTCCCTATATTCAATTTTTCTCTCGGGGAAATTCTAACAATACAAGTTTTGCAGTTCTTAAATGAAATGCTAGGTGACCCAAACATCTGTCTCTCATTCTGAGCGCAAGAAATATCTTTCACCGAGATATTTGAAACGTAAGTTGATAAGAACATGAGATTTCCTCTTCGAAAAATTTTAACAAATACGCCCCTGCATGCCTTTCCTAACGTTTACGCTAGGTCGCCCAGATGTATGTCTCTTCTTCCAGGGCACAGGGGCTAAATGTAACACATACAACTCTGGGCAAAAACGTGCTCTGAACGCGAGATATAAGATCGGGAAGTTTCAATGCATTAGGCCAGAGCAAGTAAAATTTATGGATGACATCCTCGATCCGCAGACTCTAAATATAATGCGCTAAGAAAAAAACAAGTGTATAAAAAATTGAGATAATAAACCCTTAATTTGTTAAACAAAACTTAAGGCAAAAAAACTGATGTCACACACAACATATCCTGTATTCAACAGTATTAACTGTCTTCACATCTCAATAATCTAGAACAATTGTAGAAAATAGTTTGCCGCAACAACATAAGCAACTCGTACACTAGGTATTCATATAAGATGGAAAACCTTGTACTGTCAACACTTGCCATCATACGTGAGGAATTATGCCTCAAGTTTTCTGGATTCTTTATTGTCTCTAAAAGATATACGTTTGTCTTAAAATACACACTTGCCTATTTTCGCCATGTTTGCTGTTAACACATAAATAGACGGACGTCGACTTTCCTTACAGCAAACACAACTTGTATGGACTCTTTACAAATATACTTCAGACTGATCCCTAACGGGACAAGTACGCATGTGTACAGTAAGTTTGCACAGTCTAAAGCTGTAATTTTTTTTAAATCAATGCAAAACAAGATTTTGTTTTAAATCAATGCGCGATAATCATCCCTAAAATCACTTGCTGTGGCCAAAGCCAAAACCAACGCACCAAGTATGAGTCATGCCCTATCAATCCCCAAACGTTAACGTTATTGAGTTATCTTCTTAAGTGACAGACAGAGTCTAGACGAACAGGGTGACAAACACACTATAAAAAAACACCATGATTTTCCATGTAGTTAATATATACAAAACGACCTACCGTTCCGCCAGTCCGACATGGTCTGCATGAGTTGGCCCATGGTAGTTTTGAGCTGCTTCAGCTCTGTGTTCAGCGCGTCGTCGTTTTTGCAAGTCGTTACCGGGTTACAATTACACACACATTTCTCGTCTGACGGTGGCTTACAGACCGACTGGGCAGAGCACAGAAACACAAACGTCACAAGGAGCGTTAAAAGACAGGGAAAAGCCGACGCCATGGCGGGGAAACGCTTCCTCTTGGGCAAGGAAAACGCTGTTGACTGTAGATATTTCCTCAAGGAAGTCTGTCCCTTAAAAGTTGATCGTCACTTTACACCGCACCATTGTATTCTTTTTTTAAAACATTTTGACTGACGTCACGGTCGAAGTAAAGCAAGGGCAAAGGTCACGAGCAGCAAAAACAAACTCCACAATATCGGCCATAAACACACATCTATTGCCATAACTCCGCGTTGTATTACAGTGACACAAGACAACCTAGACTGTAGTCCTGCTGTAAATCGCTATGTGGAGTTTTGTAGTTCAGACAGAGAAGAATAATACAAACGTCACAATAAAAGTAACGAGACCGGAAAAAGACGACGCAATGGAAGAAGAAATCGAAGAAATTTACTTGTGACTTCCAAAAACACAAACTCATGAGAAAGTCTACAGCCACAACTACAGCGATATTCTACACTATTGTTTTCGGCCCTCTGTGGCGTATACGTTTCACTCACTATTGTGTTGTCCACAAAACACGGTATACGTAGGGGTTACTTAAGGCCACACCGACTTGATTTTATGGATGACATCTTCTGAAGACCCCTATACCAGGGTAACTGATATTCCTTCACAATTCTCGTGTTTAGTATGGTATCTAGTTGCCATTTGGTGTCATAGGAATCTCATGTTTAGATTTACGATAACATAGTTAAGTGGAGCTATGGCAAGGGTTTTAGGTTTAAACTTGAGGAACTAACAGGATAGGTTTTCCTAGTGCTGCAGATCATTTATTCAAAGTTATATTCACAGCATAATGTAAGACCGGAAGCTGTACTTATTAACTAGCAATTACAAATGCGGTAGGGTTTAGATAGATGGTCACCAAAGTTACATGGTAATTTAAATCTGTGTAATTCTGACAGTTTCACAGTCGTTTAGTTTCACTGAAATGACAGTTATAGCTTAACGCTGCTGATATGTTTGTCTCTGTAGTTCCTTGCACTAAATGAAAGGTGATTTATCAAAAATTGTTACGGCCGTGACAAATACTACTAGGGCAATTACTATCTAGACCATATGGAGGGGTGGCTTAGCCATATAGATTAAATTAGCTTCTCTTCTTCGTAAACTCCGAAGAGAACTAAGTTTCCTGTCTATTCACAAACTGGACAGACATAAGGGTAGGGTAGTCGTGCGCACGCCACGACTCAACCGCTCACAAAAAGTGGCGACGACGAATGAAGATGAGTTGATGGGTAGGTACGTAGGGGGTAAGAAGTGAGGACCAATACGAGAGGGTTACGGATGGGGGAACATCCGTCCAATTTGTGAGTCGACAGGTAGTGTGTTTGTTACGCCAAAAAGCAGTTACTCAAGCAACTGGATATGATATTGAAAACGTCAGACGTTTCAGCTAGTATCCACTATCTTTCGTCAGTGACGCGTGTTTGCTATATTGTGACCTTGTAACTGACCCTATATCTGATTCGCGGTGTTAAGCCAAACTCTTGTAAACCACTAGACCATATACTTGCTAGTTAAGCATATAAATTGATAAAGCAGAAGTATTTAATTTTAGTTTCAATTGACTATTTATTTATATAGCCGCTAGATACCAAACACCCATGCCGTATCTGTTATACATTGGTATATAATCCAGCAGTACGTTAACGTCTGATAATGGCTGCTCCATGCAATAGGTGTCGCAGGTGAAGATTCATCGTTTGTTTAAATCACTTTTTTTAGCGTACTATCTAACTACAGGCGTTATGTTATCTATTATGCAGTTACGTCCAATTAAAGTATAAAAGTAACGTCAGGAAACGGTCTCCTAAGCAACAGCAATACATGTAACGTAATGCTGAGGTCACATTTCAAAACCGGAGCCCTACCTGGCTGTTTCAATTAACGAAAAATCAATAACTTATATCAATAATATACGCAGAGAGTTCCAACTGCAACCGACGGACATGAAATGTTCACTATGACAGGTGGCTGCCCAGGTATCACCGCCGTGCCACCCGGTGTCAGTACGGAGTAATTAGCCAGCTTATGACGGTGAATCAACGATTTTGGTTGGTCAAATGCGCTGTGGTTTGAGCAGAGCGTAATTGGTCAATTAGCTGGGAGAAGCAAAGTCGCCCAGTAAACAGGATTAATTCCCTGGCAGATTATCTGGTGACAAAGTCAAAGGCATTATCCAGAGGAGTTTCCATTGTCCACTGATGGCTAATGGACACCCCTCTGCCCAATGGGCACTGCCTTACCACCGTATGATCTGTTTGGAGATTAGATAGGCTAGCTCTTCGGCTCCAGGGTCAGCAAGATCCCAAGGCCATTTTACCGCAGACCACATTCAGTTCAAACCTGGCCGATTTACACACAGGAAAACTTCGTCATGTGACTCATGTCTTTATTGAATCCACTGTTGATTATTGTCTAATTCAGGTGATGACCCATGTTCTGCGTAATGGCTTTGGAAATAAAAACACAGGTATCCGTGCCCAGAACCTCGGATGGCGTGATCCTTTTTTTTAGAACAGGCGAAAATCAATGCGCGCGCGAATGTCATCCTGTATACCACTTCTTCTGTTGTGCAGGACGTACAAATAAGCTGCGTGCACGTGGTGTGGTGCGAAAGTGAAGTAAAAAAAAATGTAACATTGTCGTATTCCTGTTACAAAGTTGCGATTAGCTTTTTCATTGTGTACATATCCACACTATCAATCATGTTAATTACGGCGGTTTGAAGGTGTTAATTCAAAGCAGTCAAGCGTGCGACTTGACGGATTATCCACATGCATTCGGCGCGACGCCTGTGTGCAACCGCCTAACGTGAAATGTCAGCACGGAGTAATTAGCTAGTTTACGACGGTGAATCAACGATTGTGGTTGTTCAAATGCGACGTGGTATGAGGAGAGCGTAATTGGCCTATTAGCTGGGGAACACCTAGTATACAGGCTAGCTCCTCGGCTCCAGGGTCATTTTACCGCAGACCCCCTTCCCCCTTTAGTTAGACATGCTTTGATTTATCCACTAATATACTCACCTGCTGCTCAGGGTCTCTTAACCATGAAGTGTTTTTCTTTATTATTTCTCTCTTACACAATTAAACACACATTGGCATGACATGCGTAGATGTGCTTATCATGAAGTATGTGAGCTTGTTACAACATTTTGTTACATAAATTCTGAAAATTGCACTTTCAAATAGAAACGATAGGTGGCATAATTTTAAACCCTTATAGTTCCGGACAAAGAGGACTCAATCCAACAGGCAGCAGAAAGATACAAGAGGCAACGGAAAGAGCTCCACCTAGAGATTCAATGGTTCATTGCAGTATTCAGAAATCCACGAATGTATTATATAGCCTTATGTTGAACCTCTGTGACGTAGGGCCATAATGCCCGTGGCTGTGCCTGATACGAATACGAAGGGTCTTCATATTAACTCTTTATACTGAAAATAGTTATTCCCAACTCCATCTAATGCTTTATATAATTATCATTTGTCAATTTTCATGTTTTTTAATGTCCTGGAATTCTATCCAAGGTCAGTGACTTGTAATGAGTAACAGTAGCCTTTCACTTCAGTGCACCTTGCACGGTGGGAGAGGGCAGAAAAGGCCGTGGGAGCTGTAAATGCACAACAATGGGGCTGCTTAAAACTGTTGTGAATATTAAATCTGTCAATTGTTTTTCTGCGCACGGAATTGTGTCCACCGTGTGACCACACAGGTGACCGTGGGAAACACTCAACTCACAAATTTCATTAAAAATGGCTTCACACTGAGGATGTTTATATTGTGTCGCACGCTTAGATTAAGTCGAAAACACAGATATTGGTATGAAAAAGTTGCCTTACCTAGGCCTCCAGGTACTACTTAGCAAAGACCCGAATCGAGCTCTCCGACCGAACATTTTACAGCTTCATCAACAATAAACTTACTCGTCAAATTTAAGTTTTAAAAGCACTGCATCAGGTAAACATGACATAGTTCCACTTTCTTGAAGTAATTTTAGGCAATGGTGCTTTGTAAGTCTGAAGGGTGCCGTTTAACCCTCAACAGTACACCTTCCCGGACAGATTAATCTGTACACCTGGGGTCCGCGCGGACCCCAGAACAGTTTTTTGCTAATTTTTAGAAATTATCAACATGCAAACTGATGTGGGAACCTCTGTGTCCACATTACATACAAAAATCCGCGCGGACCCCAAAAGAAAATCAGATATAATTTTTTTTATAAATGGTAGAAACGGAGTTTTCTGTACTATATTGAGAGACAACTTTGTGGGTGACAATTACCTAAAATTTCAGAAAAAAATCTTTAGAAACAAAAAAGATATTACAGAATATATAGTGCTGGGGTCCGCGCGGACCCCAGGTGTACTGTTTAGGGTTAAAAACGAAATCGTGCTCTCTTCCGCGCATTATGATAAACATCTGTGACGTAGGGCCATAATGGCTATGGCTGTGCCTGATACGAATAGTCGTTACATTAACCCTTCATACTCTAGCTGATGCTTTATATATTGATTATTTATCATTTTTCATGTTTTCTAAATCCTGCAATTCTTTGTAAGGCCAGTGACCGGTGCAATAGCTCAATCAGTAGAGTGCAGTCGCTTTGTAACCGGGAGATCGTGAGGTCAAACCCCGGCCGGGTCATACCAAATATTTTAAGAATGGTACATACTGACTTCTCTGCTTGGCACTCAGCATCTATGAAAAGAGTATGAGAAGGTCAAACACACAGCACTACCAGTGGGCTAGCCCCTGCTGTAGTGCTTGCACAACTGTGTGGCCCAAGGGCTACAGAAAATGACATGGACGCCACCCCTACGCTCTGCACAGAGTGGAATGGGACTTTTTTTCAGTGACTTGCAATGGGCAACCTAGAGATTTGATCGTCCCTTGAGGCATAGACTGTGAGTTCAGTGCACCTTGCAGGGTGGGAGAGGGCAGAAAAGGTCGTGTGAACGATAAATGAACCTGTTGGTTAAAGTCATCAATATCAAATCTGTCAAAATCGTTTTCCTGCGATCGTCGATAATTTACGGCATTGTAT